TTGGAAGGACACGATCTGCCAAAACTCACACAAGGGAAAACAGACAATTTAAATAGCTTATATCTGTTAAAAAGATTGAATCAATAATTAACTACCTTCCAAAACAGAAAGCACCAGGCCCAGATGGGTTCACTGGTGAATTCTACCAAACATTTGAGTAAGAAATTATACCAATTCTCTACAATCTCTTTCAGAGAATAGAAGCAAAGGGAATACTTTCTAACTCATTCTATGAGGTCAGCATTACCCTAATACTGGAACCAGACAAGACATTACAAGAAATGAAAAACAGACCAATATCTCTCATGAACATAGATGCAAAAATTCTCAACAAAATATTAGTAAATTGAATCCAAAAAAGTATAAGACAAATTATACAACACAACCAAGTGGGATTTATCCCAGGTATACAAGGCTGGTCCAACATTTGAAAATCAATTAATGTAATCCATCATATCAACAGATCAAAAAATAAAAATCACATGATCATGTCAATAGATGCAGAAAAAGCATTTGACAAAATCCAACACCTATTCATCATAAAAACTCTCAGTAAACTAGGAATAGAGAGAAACCTTCCCAATTTGATAAAGACTATCTAAAAAAAAAAACCTATAGCCAACATTATACTTAATGGTGAGAAACTCAAAGCTTTCCCACTAAGATCAAGTACAAGGCAAGGATATCCCCTTACCAGTCCTTTTCAACACCCTTGCTAATGCAATAAGGCAAAGAAAGGAAATAGAAGGTATACAGATTGGGAAGGAAGACATAAAACTGTCTTTGTTTGCAGATGACGTGATCATCCATCTAGAAAATCCGAAAGAATCAACAAAAAAACTCCTGGAACTAATAAGCAATTTTAGGAAGGTTTCCAGATACAAGGTTAATATACAAAAGTCAATTGCTTTCCTATATACCAACAATGAACATGTGAAACTTGAAATTAAAAACACAATACCATTTATATCAGCACCCCCAAAAATGAAGTACTTGGGTATAGATCTAACAAAATATGTACAAGATCTCTCTGAGGAAAACTACAAAACTCTGATGAATGAAATCAAAGAAGAACTAAATAAATGGAGAGAGAAACCAGGTTCATGGATAGGAAGACTCAATATTGTCAAGATATCAGTTCTTCCCAACTTGATGTATAGATTCAATGCAATCCCAGTCAAAATCCCAGCAAGTTATTGCATGGATAACAATGAAATGATTCTGAAGTTTATATGGAGAGACAGAAGACTCAGAATAGCCAACATTTCAATATTGAAGGAGAAAAACAAAGTCAGAGGACCGACACTACAACTTCAAGACTTACTATAAAGCTACAGCATGGTATTAGGGAAAGAACACACAAATAGATCAGTAGAATAGAACAGAGAGCCCAGAAATAGACCCCCCTAAACACAGTCAACTGATCTTTGACAAAGGAGCAAAGGCAACACAATGGAACAAAGACAATCTCTTCAACAAATGCTGCTGGAACAACTGGATATCCACATGCAAAAAAAAAAGAATCTAGACACAGACTTTACATCCTTCACAAAAATTCAAAATGGTGCAGGGGGCTAAATGTCAAATGCAAAGCTATAAAACTCCTAGGAGATAACATAGGAGAAAACCTAGATGACCTTGGGTATGGTGATCCTTTTTAGATACAATACCAAAGACATGATCCATGAAAGAACTAATGGATAAGCTGGACTTCACTAAAATTAACAACTTGTGCTCTGTGAAAGACAACATCAAAAGAACAAGACAAGGGGCCGGCCCGGTGGCGCAAGCGGTTAAGTGCGCGCGCTCCGCTGCGGCGGCCCGGGGTTCGCTGGTTCGGATCCCGGGCGCGCACCGACGCACTGCTGGCAAGCCATGCTGTGGCGGCGTCCCATATAAAGTGGAGGAAGATGGGCACGGATGTTAGCCCAGGGCCGTCTTCCTCAGCAAAAAAAAGAGGAGGATTGGCGGATGTTAGCACAGGGCTGATCTCCTCACAAAATAAATAAATAAAATAAAAATAAAAATTAAAAAAAATTTAAAAAAAAAAGAACAAGACAAGCCACAGACTGGGAGAAAATATGTGCAAAAGACTGTTATCCAAAATACACAAGAAATTCTTAAAACTTGACAATAAGAAAACAAATAACCTGATTAAAAAATGGGCCAAAGACCTTAACAGACACTTCACCAAAGAAGATATATAGATGGCAAATAGGCATATGAAAAGATGTTCCACATCATATGCCATCAGGGAAATGCAAATTAAAACAATTTAATACCACTACGCACCTATTAGAATGGCCAAAATCTGGAACACTGATAACACCAAATGCTGGCAAGGATGTGGAGCAACAGGAACACTCATACATTGCTGGTGGAAATGCAAAATGGTAGAGCCAGTTTAGTGTTTTCTTACAAAACTAAACATACTCTTGCCATACGATCTAGCCATTGCTTTCCTTGGTATTTACCCAAAGGAGTTGAAAACTTATGTCCACATAGAAATATGCACACAGATGTATACAGCAGCTTTGTTCATAATTGCCAAAACCTGGAAGCAACCAAGATGTTCTCCAGTAGGTGAATGGATAGAGAAACCGTGGTACATCCAGACAATGGAATACTATTCAGCACTAAAAAGATATGAGCTAGTGAGCCATGAAAACACATGGAGGAAACCTAAATGCATATTGGTAAGTGAAAGAAGTCAATCTGAAGAGGCTACATACTGTATAATTCCAACTATATGACATTTTGGAAAAGGCATAACTATGGAGACAGTAAAAAGATCAGTGGTTGCTAGATGTTGTGGGGGGAGGAATGAATAGGCAGAGCATAGATAATTTTTAGGGCAACATTATACATTTACCCAAACCCAGAGAATGTACAACACCAAGCGTGAACCCTAATGTAACCTATGGACCTTGAGTGATTATGATGTGTCAATGCAGGTTCATCCTTGGTAACAGATGCACCATTCTGGTAAGTAATACTGATAATGGGGGAGGCTATGCATGTGTGCAGGCAGCGGGTATATGGGGAAATCTCTGTGCCTTCCTCTCAATTTTGTTTTTAACCTTAAACTGCTCTTAAATAAACTAAGTCTCTAAAAATTTTTTTCAAATAAAAAAATTAAAATAAAAGTGGGTAAAAGATATGAATAGGCACTTCACCAGAGAAGATATACAGATGGCAAATAAGCACATTAAAAGATGCTCAACATCATATGTCATTAGCAAACTGCAAATTAAAACAATGAGATATCACTACAGACTAATTGGAATGGCGGAAATCCAAATGCAGGTGAGGATGTGGAGCAACAGGAATTCTCATTCATTGCTGGTGGAATGCAAAACGGTACAGACACTTTGTTATAACATATGCCACTTTCTTACAAAGCTACACATAGTCTTACCATACAATCCAACAATCACGCTCTTAGGTATTCACCCAAATAAGTTGAAAACATATGTGCACAAGAAAAACCTGAACATGAATGCTTATAACAGCTTTATTTGTAATTGCTAAAATTTGGAAGCAACCAAGATGTTGGTTGCTTCAATAGGTGGATGGATAAATAAACTGTGGTACATCCAGACAATGGAATATTATTCAATGCTAAAAGGAAATGAGCTATCAAGCCATGAAAAGACATGGGGGAACTTCAGATGCATATTGGTAAGTGATAGAAGCCAATCTGAAGAGGCTACATACTGTATGATTCCAACTATATGACATTCTAGAAAAGGCAAAGCTACAGAAACATTAAAAGACCAATGGTTGCCTGGGGTGGGGGGTGGGGGGCCCACACCTGGACACCTGTAGACAAATGCCAGGTGGGGACTCTGAGCTCATCCTCAAGCTAATCCAGAGAGAATCAGACCAGGGGGCTGATTTCCAGGAGTCTGGAAAGACAGACTCACTAGTACCCACGGGAGGTGAAACAATAGAATGGATCAGGGAAAGGTTTCTCCCAAGGAAGCAAAGAGGAAGGCGAGGCTAAGCCAGAGCCAGCCACCTTCCCTTGTTATACCTGGGATTGTGCACTGGTCCATAGCCCCAGGTGAGAGCACCTGAGCACGAGAGAACGGGCGCACGCACGTGTCTGTGTGTGGACACATCTGCAAACACAGGCAGGCGTGTGGTGGCACGTGGTCTGCTTGAGACCTAAATCTTCACCTGGTATTCCACGCAGCTCTGCTTCTGTGGTCTCTCCCCTCCCACTTGGACTGCTTTCTCCACCCTTGGTGCTCACAAAATGCTCACGCACCTTCCGCACAGTGTGAGGGGCCTGTATTTGTCACCTGCAGGTCTTTCCCTACTAGATGGAGTGACTTGAAGACCAGAATGGCATCTTGTTCACCCTGTGCCCTCAGCGTCTACACACGGTCAGGACCTCGAGAACATGTGAGTGACTGAGGGGAAGAAAGAAGGAAGCTCAGGCAAAGGCCTGGGGGACCCTCAGAGCAGGGACTACAGGGCATGTGAGTAGGTGGGAAGACCACCTCCCTGAGAACCTCCTCCTCCTCACCCACTAGTTCTCAGCCCCAGTCAAGTCTGTCACAAAGAGTCCTCAGCAGCTTTTCTGCAACTATGAATACTCATGACCATTTTATGGTCTGTCTTCTGACGAGACTATAAGCCCCATGAGGGCAGCCCTGGTCCTGCTCCCCCCTGCTGCATCCCCAGCACTCTAACACCACGCCCGGCACTTAGCTGGTAACTTGCAAATATTTTTTGCAAAGTTTTTTTTTTTGCAAAGGAAGGAAAATAGAGCTTAAGTGACATGTAATAGTAATAGTGCTCCTCTGGGGAGCTCCTCTGCATATCAAGATACAGATGCTGACAGCAAAGGACTTTCTCTCCAGATGGGGAAACAATTCACCAGAGGCATGCTCTGTCCCCAAGTGGCTGCCATAAAGCAGGAGGGAAGGGGGGAGAGCAAACTGGGCCTGCAGAAAGTGGGCCCTGCTCCACTGGTACGGGGAGATACTCACTGGGAACAACCGTGGTCTCCCCAGGAGGTCCGGTCAGTGTCACTGGGATATGCACAGTGGCGTTTGGGTCTGAGGGTTGGCTGCCCATCCGACTGACATTCCGCTGATTATCTGCATCCTCTGGCTGTTCCTCCACTTTCTGTAGACACATACTGGGCAGCGCATGCACAGGACTCACACCCATTATCCCACTGGCCTCAAGGTCGCAGTGCGGCTCCCTGCAACCAAGAACGCACATCAGAATCTGCCCCAAACTCCTATTCAGTCTGCAAAACTCCGCTCCTCAAACCCCTATCCAAATCAAATAAATCCCTGACCACCTCCTCTGCTACTCTGGCATTTCATGAGTTTTTATCACCCTGTATACTTCTTGGGTTTTAGGTCTGAAAGGTAGGGACGGGGCTGACTCACCTGTCTGTCTCTGGCACGAGGCCAGGCATGACTGGCACCACCATATGTGTGTGGAAAGGAACTGTTTGCAGAATGAAGAAACCTGGAGGAGGGTGCTTCCCTAAGCCACCCCACCTGGGGCCCCACCAGGCCAAAGGCCCAGCACAGAGCTCTGCGCACAGACAGCGCCAAGGCTGGCCTGGTCTTGAGTGAGGCCTCCAGCTGCGTGAGTTCTGGGTGGTTTGCAGCCCATCTGCAAGCATGGAGACTGCTGGCCTCAGCATCGGGGCTCCTGTTACTCCAGACTCGCACAGTCGGAGTCAGATTATGTCCCAGCCAGGGAGCAGGCTGGGCTGGCCTGGGGGCCCTTTCCGTCATGGCCACACAGCCTGGCCCTCTTGTTCTACCATTTAGCCCAGTGGCCTCCTCAGGCTCTCCTGACTCTCCTTCCTCCGCAGTGTTCTCCAATTTTTTCTTCTCTCTGGGCCACTCCTTCCCTTCCAAGTCACCGTGCCCCAAACCAATCCCCACAATCTCCCCCTGGGTGCTTTAGAATAACGGCTGACCCTCACTGAGCCAACGCTCCCCCTACCCTCAGTGTAAGCATTTCACACGTCACCCAGACCAGGCAGGACTGTCACCAGCCCAGAGAGAGACCGAGACAGACAGTGGGGGAACAGGGGCAGCCTGGCCAGGTCTGCACTCCCCGCCCTGTGCACCCTGCCCCCCAGGCCCACGCGGCGGGGCCAGCGTCTCCCTCCACGATTCGCCCACCCCCGCGCGCTTTCTCACCTGGGCTGGTGGTTCCGGAGCTCCTTGTCCTTGTCGCGGTCCTCGACGCCGCCCTCCTTCTCCGCGGCCTCCTTCTCCGCGTCCTCGTGGGTGGGGAGCGCCTTGTGCCGGGCCCGGTGCCGCCTCGCCGGTTCCTCCCCGCTCTCGGCCTCCCTGGGGCCGGCCCGGGGGCCGCGG